CAGGCTCTAGGGAGTTGTGTTTAATTTAAATTTTAAACGCCGCGTATCGCGGCGCCGATTGGTTGTTCTCCAGGCCCCTAGGGAGTTAGATCTAATTTAAATTTTAAGCGCCGCGTATCGCGGCGCCGATTGGTTGTTCTGCAGGCCCGCGAGAGTTGGATTTAATTTAAATTTTAAGCGCCGCGTATCGCGGCGCCGATTGGTTGTTCTGCAGGCCTGCGAGAGTTGGATTTAATTTAAATTTTAAGCGCCGCGTATCGCGGCGCCGATTGGTTAGTCTGCAGGCCCGCGAGAGTTAGATTTAATTTAAAGCGGAAGTTAATATGTTCAGAGTATTCTAAAATGTCGAAACATTGCATTAAAATCGCATGTCCGTACGTATATATGTGTATGTGCAGATTTGATGTCCGTGTTTGCTCTAACTTCCGCAAATTTGAAGATATCGATCTATTTCTAATTTTATTATATTTCTCAGTCTTTTCTACCCCTATTTCATATATAATTTTTTAAGATTTGGTTGAATAGACCCAGCTTTATACGCGATCAAAGATCCATAATTTTGATCGCATATAAAGCTAAGTCTAATCAACCGAATTTAAAAGAACTGCTTTCACCTGCTTTATTACCGAAAATTAGTACCGTTGATTTCCTTACTGCTCAAATTTTTCTGTGTGCCCGGACCTTAAACGTTATCGTCAGGTAAATAATTAAATATTGTCGGCGCGGCGGCGAGACCGTTGGCGCGTTTGCACGCGGGCGCTCGACTTTGTTTTTCGTACGCCACGCCGCGCCGCGCCACGCGGCTCCCACCTCGCGGCTCGCGACGTCACACTATTATTCACATTCCGATGCTCGAGCCGGCATGCAGCCGAGCGAGCGGCTCCGTGCGTAGCGCTCTATTAAATACATCGCGAGATGTGCTGTGACAAGTATCACGATGATATCGCAGCTACTAGAAAGATACAGTATTCTCTCTTAATCGTCGGATTATCCCGTGTGCGCGACCGACCGAGTACTGAGTTCCGTCATTCGCGCAGAGTCACGATCGAGCGCATGACACACGCCTCGCGCGGCTACAGGACGCGGAGTGAAGTGAATACGTTAAGATTAATGTACGCCGAATATAATAAGTTTCTTGTGTTTCACGGAATACGGGACTGTTATCGCACACAGGAGCGAGAAGGCGATCGGAGTGCTGGACTAACGTTTGGTCGAGAATCGTCGGACATCATATCGTGGGATTTAATGTGAGTACGGAGTACGCGAATCTCGCGGTGATTTAGAATAACGACGCGTAGTTATGATATATGTGTGATATATGTGTCGAGCGTTTAACTGTGCATTCGCATCTCGCGGAATTTTACGCTGTATTTCGAGCTGTATCGCAAGTGTGTCTCGAGCGTATATTTTCGAACGGTTCGCTCGTTTCACGTTGGCCATTGACACGACTCGCGTTGTATCCGCGAGGCGTCCACGTCGGTAAGAAGTTAGCCGCGCTCAGCGGGAAAAGCAGCTCGGTGAATATCGTCGGTTTTAAATAATAGAAGCGCGCCCCATAAAACGCAGATCGTTTCCTCTCCGAGTATCTGTAATAAAGTGTCGCGATCGTATTATTACAGTTACTTCGTACTCGATCGCGAAATATTGGACAGCGGCTCCGTGAGTGTCCTGTGCAACAGAAGGAGGATGAGGCCTGACAACCCCGTTCTGAGAGGAGGAGAAGGAGGCCTGGCGGAGGCATCGGGCCCCGGCGGAGCAACCTTGGGGTAAGTATTTTATTTCTTACCTTAAAATTAATAGATCTTTTCCATTTATTCGGGCCGATTTATCTCGGATAAGTAAGAAATAATTTGAGAAAGTAAAACCATCTAAAATATTATAAAAGTTTATTCTCGTAAAGATTTTTTCCAGAAAATAAATAATTACATTAGTAATCTAATTAAAAGACGACGTAGACGCGTGTAAAAATTATTTTTTTAAACATTGGTCATTTTGAGCGGCTCTTTAATTTGAATCTTTCGTTTTTGTGTTACAGAATCATCGGAGCTACGTGCCTGACTAACTCCGCCCGTTGCGCATCTGGTCGGTGAGTGATAATTAATTTTTTATAACGGGGTAACGAATGACGTGAGATCCAGTGAATACTTTGTCGCGGGACAGAATACATTTTTATATAGAAATATTTTAAAGTTGAAAATTTTCATATTAATTTGCACAATTTTAATAACACTTTGCAATAAAATAACGAGATATTTATATGAATATACAGATTTTACGGTAAGAGTTATCTTCGCCGTTCTTAGAGATATTTTAAATCCGCAAACGGGTGCTGTTTCGGAATCGTTTGTACGTCTTTGTATGGCCGCTAGTTTCGTTTGTAGGTGTAAAGGGGCGATTGTACGGGAATTTCAAAATAAGATGAGTCGCATGGAAATATGCAATAAAAATCAGATTTTACGGCAAGAGTTATCTCCGCCGTTCTTATAGATATTTTAAATCCGCAAACGGGTGCTGTTTTGGAATCGTTTGCACGTTTTTGTATGGCCGCTAGTTTCGTTTGTAGGTGTAAAGGGGCGATTGTACGGGAATTTCAAAATAAGATGAGTCGCATGGAAATATGCAATAAAAATCAGATTTTACTGCAAGAGTTATCTCCGCCGTTCTTAGAGATATTTTAAATCCGCAAACGGGTGCTGTTTCGGAATCGTTTGTACGTCTTTGTATGGCCGCTAGTTTCGTTTGTAGTTTTAAATGGGTGATTGTACGGGAATTTCAAAATAAGCTTCGCGTAGGGAGTTAGATCTAATTTAATCTTTAAGCGCCAAGTATCGTTTCGCCGAAATAATAATATTCTATTATAAAAGCAAACGAATCATTGCTCGGTAATAAAAAATTGTTTTGGCAATGAGATAATGTATAGCGCAATTATTTTACGCGTCATACCTTCGTGTCTCGCGTTTAGAATATCACGAAAAAATGTTACATGAAAACATAAAGGAAGTAACGTAAAGAAGAACGTATCTTGTAAAAAATGAGTTTATAAAAAACGTATGTGCGAAATGAATTATACATTCTCTTCATTACGTCACATCACGTCACGTCACGTCACATCACATCACATCATATCGCGTTGCGTTGTATCGCGTTTGATCCGATAACGTTTATTGTATACGGTTTATGTTGACCGCAAGACATATGCATTGAACATTGGCACGTGCATTGCCGGTGCGTTGTAATTAATAAATCCCATTGTACATATTTGTATGTCGATACCGGGCGATTATTCAACACGTTTGTATTGCGCGAGCATATACATACATCTCGTCTGGACCAATCGACCGCTTCTGACTGAATTGTATTCCTAGCTAACGTTACGGACAACCGACGTACAAACAAACGTATACGTATTGATATGCGTGTAAGGCAACGCCGACTGTTAAGCTGACATGTGCATGCGCGCGTGTATGGATCTCGTATGTGCACAGAATTATGCATTCGCGTCTGCTTCCTCATGGCTGAGTTGTGGTTAATTTCGTTTCGTCTTTATCTCTCTCTCTCGCTCTCTCGCTCTCTCGCTCTCTCGCTCTCTCTCTCTCTCTCTCGCTCTCTCGCTCTCTCTCTCTCTCTCTCTCTCTTTACCTCTCTACCTCTCTACCTCTCTACCTCTCTACCTCTCTACCTCTCTACCTCTCTACCTCTTTACCTCTCTACCTCTCTACCTCTCTACCTCTCTACCTTTCTACCTCTCTACCTCTCTACCTCTCTACCTCTCTACCTCTCTACCTCTCTACCTCTCTACCTCTCT